AAAGGGACAATCTTCAAACCTGGGAAATCTATGACCTGCCTTTAAAAACAATGTGATGGCAAATTTAAAGGCTCCATCTAGACAACCCAGCATCCCAACAATGTTTTTAAATGTGTTTTGAGGTGGGCTGAACAGGCTCAGTAGTCATTTTACTAATTGCTGGTTAATTTCCTGTCATTCCACTGAATTCTGCAAAGGGATTCTATTGGACTAAATTAGAACAGTACACCACCTTCCAGCAGGAGAATATTTCCACTCAGTGCATGAGTGCATGAGAATGGACTAATAGTTTGCAAACTTACAAAGTGTTAATTTTTTTTTAATCCACTCTCCCACAGTTTAGATATGAATCCAGATTTGGCCCAATTCCACTCTCATTTGATTGGACGACATTTTGTGAACCAACTTACATTTTAACTATCCTGTGTCTTAGGTATTTAATAAAAGTAAATTCTGTTCACAGAGACCTACCATTGTGTACCTTCACCCCTTTATCTCTTATTGCACAGCTAGCCTTAACATAACAGGATACTGAGACGTTACTCTTAATCTTCCTCAGGAGTCCATTAAAGCCTTCCCACAAAACAGACAACTTTGGGCTGAGAATTCTGGACGTTATTAAATGAAGTTTTTTTAATCACCACTTTCAATCGGCAATATGGCTACTTCCATTCAAAAGGATGTCAGCTCCTTGCTGCCAAGATGACCAAGGTGTGTGTCTGTTCTGGTCAGGGGACAGAGTGGGCAGAGGATAACCTAAGGTCCCACTGCAGAACAATCAGGGCCTTAGGAGAACCATAGCCTCCCACACGTGTCAAGATGCTATACACTACAGCACTAAGTGCAATTTGACTCAATCAGATGCTTTGGGAATGGGCTGCACACATGACCCTCTCACTTTATAATACCCCATTTCCCGAGACATCACCCTCTCCCTTTATCTACAGAATAGTTACTGCAATTTTATTAATACAATGAAAAATGCTAGGTAAAGAATCTCCTATCTAACCATTTCTGCCACCTCATTCATTAACTCACACATATCACATTGGATTCCTGGACAGTATTACTCCAGATAACACTAAACTTTTAAAGAAGAAAAATATTAACAAGCTTAATTTTCTGACCTTCTAGTCTTTCCTTCATCACTTGATTGTATTTCCACCATTCATAAACTATCATGGCCCTGATATTCTTAACCAAGTCCTAAATAGCAAACAATTAAGGTAATGAAACAAAATAACAGATAGTTGGTTACCTTGAGGCCTTCCATCATCAACCTTAAAAAAAAAAAAGGCTAATATAAAAATTAAAACATCACCTGAGCTTTCAAATAATTAACCAGAACATAAATGCCATTTCAAGGATTAGGCACTAACCCCAAGTCTTATCCAAAGCAGGAGTGTTGCTATAAAAATATAAGTCCCGTAAACAAGGTGGGCCTCTCCTTGCTGTGTCATGAGGGTTTTGGAATTTGGAAAGGCCCTGACCTCCAAAGAGCAAGCAGCATGGAATGAGGCGATTCAGTTGCATAAAACCCAGAACGCATGGAAGAAAAAATCCAGAACTTCACTAAAGGCTAAGGCTAATATGTTCGCCCCCCTTTTTGTAGCACAGATAAGATGCTCCCATTTAAAAATGATGCAGTGTAATAGAAAGAGGCCTTTGGGAGCACGAATGCCTGCAGAGATCAGATCATTCCTATCAAATATATTTGGAACAGATTGGTAATGGGGGTGAAGGGATAAGGCTAGGAACCTTGCAAATCAAAGGGTTTCTCAGTCTAATTTCTGCGACTATAAATAGGGGGCATCTTTAACTCCTAGAGGCTGCTAAGCTTTAGATATGCATGTACTAGTGCTGACATGTTGGCCCACAGACACTTGCTACACTGAGATTCACCTAGCTCTAACAAACCAAACCTGGGAAGAATTATTATAAAAAACATACATGTACAATGGACTTGGAATGAGAAAGACCTGGGTTCCAATCACAGGTCAAACATTCACTAGTTCATGTTACCTTGGGCAAGTCAGCTAACTGCTGAACAGTTTCCTTCTCGTAAAATAAGGAAATTGGACTCCATGGCTTCTAAGATCGCTTCCAGCTCTAATGCTATGACTCTGGGCTCCTGATTTACCCAGCCCTTTTAAAGCACCGTACAGCCATCATCTCATCTGAAGCTCACAAGAACTCTAGGAAGTAGATGTCATAGTTATTACTTACTATCCCCATTTTACAGAGGAGGAAGCTGAAGCTGAGGGGCTCAGCTAAGGGAATCAGCATTAAGTGCCTTCCATTTACCAGGCTCTGTGCCAAGTAAGCACTGGGGACACTAAGAAAAGCCAAAGACCACTCCAGGGGCTCAGTCTAATGGAGAGAGGGGAAGTGGGGGGGCAAGGTGAGAGAATGACAATGTGTAAACAGCTGTGTAAAGACAAAATCCAGGGCAGCTAGGTGGCTTAATGGATAGAGCACAGGCCCTGGATAAGGTGGACCTGAGTTCAACTGGCCTCAGACACTTACTAGCTATGTGACCCTGAGCAAGTCATTTAACCTCAATTGCCTTAATAAATAAATAGACAGATAGATAAATAAATGAATGAATGAATAAACGAAGGTAAAATCCAGGCAGGACACATTGGAGATCATCAGCAGAGAGGGCAGGCCCATATAAGAAGGACAGTGAAAAGCTTCCTGGAAAAGGTGGTAAAAATTTTAGGCAGAATCCTGAAGGAAGCCAGGGGGTGGGCAGAGTCAGTGAAATGTCAAGAAGTAGTGTCTTCTTGTAGGAACAGCATGGAAGTGAGGTCACTGGATCAAAGAAAGTATTTTTTAAATGACCCTGATGGTGTCAAAGGCATGACTGTGAACCCAGGTTCTCTCCTAATTCCACACCTAATGCTACTTTACCTCCTTTACCCTTTACCCTCCTTTCATCTTTCATTGTCTCCCCCCCCAAAAAACCAAAAAAAACATAAAACCCAGGATTAGAAGTGATAGAAGACCCAGAGAAACAGCAAACACAAAAATATTAGTTGGCACATGAGGCAATAGACAGTGTTTACCCTCTATCTTGCCTGCACAAATGATGACAATGTGTCTAGGAGCAACCTTTTGTCAACTTTCCTTTGAACATAGATGGAAGTTAGAATAAAGGCAGATCCTAAGGAAGAGGGTTGGGGAGGGGAGGACTGAAGAGTAACTGCAGGTAATTAAGCTTCAAGTTCAGAGAGGTCCTGGTTCTCTCTCATTCAAGGCCTTGAGGATGATGGAGACTGTCCTAACAGACCAATGCTCTGACTGCCTTGAGAGAGAAAGCAACAGATCTTCCAGGAGAATGCAGAGTGCATCTCACAGTCTCCAACTTTATCACCTGAGAGAAAAGAATTCTTCCATGCAAAAACCTGAGCAATACAAGAGACAGATGTGGTCTCCTATGATACGCAGGCACTACTTCCTATCTTTCCAAATGCTTTGACAATTTATAACCTTTTTTTTTTTTTGCAACCTGATACAGTTGTGTATAAAAAGTTATTAATAGCTCTAAATAGCAAATCCTTTTAATTTTTTTTCCAAGCATTTTCTCAACTACCTCACTGTCCTAATAACCCTGTGATACGGGGCAGGGTGGGACACCATATCACCATCCCGATTTAATAGATGAGGAAATTCAGGAACAGAAGCTCAATGACATTTATCCAAAATCTATTCCCACCTACCACACCCACCTTTTCCACCCACTTTCTTCCCATCCTCCCTGTGCTGTAAACAGGCTGCTTTCCTAGACACCTCAGCAACTCCTTCATCGTCAGGGTCCAAGACCAATTAAGCCTGTAAAATATAATCTCTTCAAAACTGGGTCCCCCATTAGGTCTCCAAGATGCTGTTCCTCTCTGGTTGGTCCCTTAACCCCATGGCTTCGGATTCTCTCCATAATTCTCTCTCTCAGCCTGCCCCCTCTCCCCACAGTCACTAATCTCTCCATATGCACTCCTATCCCACTCCACCCTAAGCAGACTTCCGGATCTTTTCCTTCCACTCAGTGGAATAAAACTTCCCCAGGTATACTCCCAACACACCAGAGATCTCTCCAGACATGGTACTTTCCATATGCCCCTATTCATATTTAGACAGCAAACCCCTTGACAAAGGTCCTAGTTCAGGATCCCTACACAAAGTAGGCACGGAGACCCTCAATCAGAAATCTCCTATATCACTCCTCAGACTCTAGTCCCCCAACAATGACTCTGTCCCTATTCCCCAAATAGCTCAAATTCTTTCCACTTTCCAACAAATCAAGAAACATTCATTTCAACACCTGCTATATTCAGGGCACGGTGCTGGTGGGCCCAGGACATACAAACACCAAAGTCAGACAGTCTCTGCCTTCCAGAGGTTTTCATTCCACGTCAGACTCTCTCCTCTCACTGTCCCAGTCCCTTTTCTCCCAGTTCTTCCCCTAGGTCGTGGACAGGTCAATCCCTATACGTCCAAATCAGGCCCTCCTTCCAGAAGCAGAGACTTCAGGGACACCGTTCCTTGGCGTCCCCTTCTCGTTCTCTCCACACCCTTCCGTCCCCAGACCTCCCCTCAGTGTCTTCCCCGGGATATCCTGGCAACGCACCCTCCCTGCAGCTATTCAGAGGAGCCACTCGGGGCACACTCCCCAATTCTGGACTCTTCACGGTCTCTCGTCAGACGCCCCCACCCCCGCACTCCCCCGACCCTCCCAAACACAGCCCCCCGCTCCTCTTTCTGAGATCCCGCACGTGCTCCCCCACATTCGCCCGGATCCTCCGGGGTCAGCGTCCACACCTGCGCTGCTCTCCAGGCACCGCGCCCTCCCCCCAGATGCGCACCTTTCATACGTGCTCGGGGGCTGCCGCGCCCCCCCACCTGCCCCCTCCCCCTCCTGCCGTCCCCCGCGCGCCCTCGCGCCCCCTCCCGCCCCTGCTCGTGCGCTCCCTCGCCCTCGCGCCGCGGCGCCGGGGCCGCACCTTGCGCTGCTGCTTCTCCCAGGCGGGGTCGAGGAGCAGGTCGCGGTCCCAGTCGTCCTCCTGGGCCATGTAGTCGCCGACGCCGCCGCCGCCGCCGTTGCCGCCGCTGCTGGGGCCGTACTGGTAGGGCTGGTTCGCCGCGTGGTAGTCCACCATCGTGCTGCCGGCTCTCGAGCTCGCTCTCCTGCCGCCGCCGCCGCCTCACGCTCCGGGCCCGCCTGCTCCGAGCTGCCGCCGCTGCTCCTCAGCCGCTGCCTCTTCAGCCGCCTCTGCCGCCGCCGCCGCCGCCGCCGCCTCACACAGACAACCCGCCCTCTAGGCCGCGCCTGCGCAACCCGGCCACTGCGCTGTTCCCCGCGAGCCAGCGCGCCTGCGCACGCCGCCGCTGTCGCGCACCGCCCGCCCCCGAGCCCAACTGGGGCATGCTTGCGCCTGCGCGCGGCCCACCTTCCCACCTCGCGCCCCAACGGCTCCGGAGGGCGTGGGGCGGGGGGGGGGTGGAGAAAGGGGAGGAACGCGAAGGGGGGGAGGGGTGGCGACGCTACGTCATCCAGCCTCCGGGCGAAGGCGGGGGCCGCCGATTAATTATTAATAAGACCGGGGTCTGTCTCTGTAGTATTAATCCCTCCGAATGCCGGCGGGGGCGCGCGAGCTTGCCACCACCTTCTGCTCCGCGTCGATTAAGTGCCTACTGTGTGCTAGCCAATCAGCAGGCTCAGGACCCCCTAAAGTAGCCCCGTTCTAGAAAATACAAAGTATAGAAAAAGTGGTGGGGAAAGTCGGGGTGGGGGGCGGGGGGCCGCAGTGAGGACTGGCTTCCTGTGGGAGGCAGCGGCGCCTGCTCGGACCCTCGAAGGAGGAGGGGAGGGCGTTCCAGGTGCCGGGGACAATCGCGCAAAGGCGCCGAGGTGGGAGACGGAATGTTCTGTACAAGCCGACGCGAACCGGCTAGTGATAGAGTACACGAAGCGGAGCCATGTTCAATCAGCCCGGGAGAATGGAGCCCTATCCAGAGGGGGACCCAAGGGCCCTCACTTCCCAATCAGGATTGATAGCCTATACTTTCAGTAGTCGAGTAGAACGTAAGCTCTTTGAGGGCAGGAACTTTTGCTTTTGTATTTGTATCAGCCCCCTCCCCTTTTTCCAACCTCCAGAGTGGCAGGAGCTTAAATACGTGTTAAATGAAGGAATGACTAGTCCTGAGAAATGACAGGAAATTTGGAGTTCTCTTGACATCAGACATTTCCTAACTGGGTGACCCAGGCAAATTTTTTAAATTTTTCAATCTTTTGGGGGCGTGTGGAGAGCACACATCCCGTAGCCTGCCGTCTCCACGAGGCACAGACCCGCTTCGTTTGTGGTTTTGGTATCTTCATTGTCTGGCACAGTGAGGGACACAAAGTAAGCTTTTAAAGTCTGACTGACTGAAAGAACCACGGAATGCTGGGAGACATTTACCTAGACTTCAAAGGACTATTCGCTTCTGTCATACAGTTCTTGTGGACCAGATGGAGAGATGGGAGGGGGAAGGGAGACCGCTAGACCAGTGTATAAATAAGATGAATAGATGAAAAGTCACTTACTAAGCACTTGTATGTGTCAGACTCTGGGCTAAGACCTTTAGATAAACCTACAAAAGAGGGATGAAATTGGGGAGAGAGTGATAGCCCAGGAAGGATGGCTTATTATGAGAAACCCTGGAGATACTAAAAAGCAATCGTGGGGAGGGGCACAGATCCAACAGCAAGTCCCTAAGCCTCAGTTTCCTTAGCTGTAAAATAGATGTAGTCCCATCACAAAATTGTTGTGAGGCTCCGATACATAGGCAGTGTTTTCCCGGGGTACTGGATTTGGGTTTTTACTATGAGGTAAACACTTCTTCTTTCCTCAGTATCTTGGCTGACCTTAGTAAATCACCTTTTCTTTCAAAGACTCCCTTTCTGAGCTTCCTCATCTATAAAAAAGAGTTGCTTGGTCCCTTCCTGCTCTAAATTCTATAGATTGTTCTGTGGGAGTGGGGGAGGGATGGTAAGGCCAAAGGAGATCCCTGGAAGAGACAAAAGTTGTCCTTAGTAGAGACAAGAGGATGAAAGAAATCCCTGGGGTCTGCAGGCTTGAAAGGAAATATTTAAGACTGGCCTTTCTAAGAATCTCCAGCCCCAGCCCAGGCCCTGAGGGATGGAGAATGGGCAGGGCACTCAGGAAGCCAGGACCTAACCCGAAAGCTCCACCCCCAACCCCAGAAGGAAAGGCCCAGCCTTAAGCCCTGTGAGTTTCGACCTTGCCAAAAAACCAGGTTGGGCTCAACTGGGCTGGGCAGCCCCCAGGCCAGCTGCCCATTAGCCTGCTGATGTCTGTGAAAATGCACGGAGCTTTGTGTTCCAGCTGAACCCCAAGACCATCCTGCGAGGAAGCCAGTTGGGGCCAGAGGACCTGGAATGAGACAGTGCTCCTCGTGACCAGCTTTACCCTCAGCCCTCCTGCCATCAAACTCGTTGCCAAAATCCTGCTCCAGAGCCTTGCTCGAGCCTTCCAGCCTCAGGCCTCAAATTGGCAGCAGTTGAGGGTGGCAGAGACTTTGCCCTGGGATGGTCCTGAGAATTTGTCCTGACCCATCCCCCTCCACCCAGCAGAATGGGACCAGATTGTAAAGGCCTCACCCTTGCTGATGAACTCTCTACCTTGGCCTACTCTGGTCCCTGACTAGTTGACCCTTTTAATTTTCCTACCTCCTGGCCTTTGTTCAAAATTCCCTGTCCTTTCCCTTCTTTAAAGCCCAAATGAGTTTCCATGTAAATGCTGACTTGCCTGTGCCACAGACCCCCTGAGTGACCTCCAGCAAATGACTTCACCTCTCCAGGCTTCACGTTGCAGCGTTAAATCGAATTAAATCTAACATCCTATAACATCCAGGTTGCCTTCTCTCTCCTCCCAAAGGAGGATAGTGATGGAGAAACAGGGACAAAGTAGGAGTGGCCTGATGTCGAAACTAAGGCAGAGCAGACTGGGAAGGTCTTCCTCCTCCAAACAAACACTTACAAGATGCCTACTGTGTGCTGGGCACTAAAGCAAGATAAAAAGTAGAACACATGTGACCTTAGGGAGCTCACACTTTACTAGGAACAGAAGATTCAAATGTATACATACATATGCATGTAGATAACATATCAAATACTTAGAAAGCAATCATGTTACTAAGTACTTTAAAAGATGGTCAAATAAATGAGGATCACACACTCCCCAGGAGTCTGATTTGGAGTGACTGTATTACTTATTACCTGTGTGACTTTCAGAACCTCTCTGAGACTCAGTTTCCTCATCTGTAAACTGAGAGAAGCTAGCCCTCTGGCTCTAACTCTGTGAACTGCTGTGGTTTCAATCGTGTCTGACTCTCCGTGACACCATTTGGGGTTTTCTTGACAAAGACACTGGAGTGGTTTGCCGTTGCTTGTCCAACTCATTTTATAGATGGGGAAACTGAGGCAAACAGGGTGAAGTGACTCCACATAGCTAGTAAATGTTTGAGGTCAGATTTGAACTCAGGTTTTCTTGACTTCAGGCCAGGTGCTCTAACCGCTGTATCACCTAGCTGCTCTGAACTCTGTGCGCTTGTGACTATTCCTTCTAGGGCTTTCCATTCCAGGTAAGCCCAATCCATGGTACAGGAGAGGTATAGGTAATGGTGGTGGTGGTGTTAGTCCTTTATACTGGAAGACCAGTGCCACGGACATACAAAGAAACACTACTGTGTCATAAAGTGTGCCATATACCCAATAAAAGGGCATCCAGTCTCTGTTTGAAGACCTCCTCCAAGGAACCCAATGACCTGCTGAATATCCCACAGATAGTAAATGAGAGAGCTCAGGTCATTTACAGGCATTGGATTCTCACAGTCAGGCAGCCCTTTGTACAGACCCAGCCACAACCACTCACTAGCTGTGAACCAGTCACTTCATGTTGTCTGCCTCTGTTTACCCATCTGTAAAATGGGGGAAATCATAGGACCTGCCTCCCAGGGTTTTTGTGAGAATCAAAGGAGAGAAATGCTCTGACAATGTTAACATACTCTATAAACACTATTATTATAACTATTATTGTTATTATTATTATAATCCAAGTCTGTGTACGCCGAATCCAACATTCTTTCAACTGCTACCCCCAGTGGGCTGAATTCAGTCCTGGCTCTGCTACTTAATAGCTGGTTGACCTTCTGACCTGTATGATCCTCAGCTTCCACTCACCATCTCCATGTCTTTGCACAGACTATCTATTTCCCAGTGCTTGGAATGTCCTCCCTCCTTCTCTTAGCTTCTTATCCAGCTTCTCAGTTAAGCATTTCCTGCTACAGAAGCATTTTCCTAATGTCCTCAATTGGTATTCCCCCCCAAAGCACTAAGTATTTCTTTTGTATTTGTTTACAAATGTACAATTTTATATTGCACTTTTAATACTACCAGGAATTTTACTTTTTATCCCTATAAAATATAATATAAAATAAATATGTATTTAAATATATTCATATAAATATGTGTATGTATATAAAGTACATATAGAAATATATAACAAATAAAAATATAATATATGTGACCAAAACTACCTGTACATCTGTTCATTTAAACATTGGCTGAATAAACTAAAAATATCTATTTCTCTGTGTCTGTGTTGCTTCCCACAGAAGAATGTTAAGTTCCATGAGGGCAGGGATCATTGCATTTTTGCCTAGACTGGCATTGCGGTTTAGTGGATAAGGAGCCAGCCTCTGAGTAGGGAAGAGTCTCTCAGGGCTCCTGGCATCTCTATATGACTGGTACAGAGAAAGGTGTTGACCTGCCATGGGGGAAGGAGCCCCTCTTTCAGATCTCAAAACAGTAATAAAATCACAATTTAGGTTAACCACCTCCCCCACTCTCCCTGCCCCCAGCCCAGTAATAAATGCTTGTTGACTGAATGATTGATTGATTCTGACAGTCACTAAATGGGTAACTCAGAGGAATGCTATTGACTAGAGGTTACCTGGATTTTTGGCTAAGTGTTTAATAAAGTCTATTATGCAATTCTTTTGGAAAAGGTGTGGGTTACATGATTGTACCAGTAGATGGATTCACAACTAGTTGATTGACTGGACTAAAGGGAAGATGTTAATAATGGTTTGAGGTCTACTTGGAAGGATG